GGGGGGGGTTTGGGGGGGGGGGGGGGGGGGTAACCATAGGTGCTGCCTCGGGGGGGCCGGGGGCGAGGTGTGTCCCCAATGTCACCTGCAGGGTCCCGGCACGGAATGGGGGAGGCGAGTGACGACGACAGCGGGATCATGCTGCTCTCGGGTGAGAACGGGGGGCTTTGGGCCCCCCCCATGGGTGCTCTGACAGACGTACCCCCCCCAGGCTGAGGACGGGCCGCTTGAGCGCGGGGGGACACCATGGGGACACCCCAAAGCTGCTCGGGGGGGAGGTTTGGAGGAGTGGAGGGGGGACACGGGAGGTGCCCCCGGGTTTGGGGGGGCACTCAAAGGGGGGGTGCCCTGGGCAGGGTTTGGCTCAGCCGGGTTTAGCGGGGGGGGAGGTGGTGAGTCAGGATGAAATCTTCCCCCTGTGTCCCCCCGCGGCGGCGGCACGGCTCTGCCGGGGGGGCTGGAACCTCCGAGGGTGCTGCTGGGGGGGGTCATGGATACCCCAGGGGGGCTGGAACACCCGAGGGTGCTGCTGGGGGGGGTCACGGCTGCTTTTTCCTCCCACCGGCCTTGACACGCACCGATTGCGGGGGCCGGGGGGTGGTGCCCGGGTGCCCCCCGTGCCCTCATGGGTCCGTGCCCCCGTCCATGTCCCCCCCAGGCCCGGCCAGCCCGGTGCCCCCCCCGAAGGAGCGGGTGCAGGCGGGGCGGCGGCAGCAGCAGGCGCTGGAGGCGCGGCTCGAGGGCTGCGTGCAGGAACTGCGGCGGCTCTGCCTGCGGGAGGCGGTGAGAGACGCTCGGGACCCCCGGGGTGACCCCCCTAACCCGAGACCCCCGGGGTGACCCCCCCCCAGCCCTAAGAGGGACTCGGGACCCCCTATGTGAACCCCCCTAACCCTGAGAGGGGCTCTGGACCCCCGGGGTGACCCCCCTGCTCAGGCCTCGGGGGCACCACTCAGTGTCCCCACGAGTGGCGCACAGGGACCCGCGGTCCGACCCCACCCCCGAGCACGGAGACCCCCTGCCTGCCCTGTTCCCCCCGCTGCAGTGACACAGCTCAGTGTCCCCACAGTGGCACTGCTTAATGTCCCCATGGTGGCACAGCTCAGTGTCCCCACTCAGTGTCCCTGTGGTGTCCCCGTGGTGTCCCCACTCAGTGTTCCCGCAGTGTTCCCGCTCAGTGTCCCTGTGCTGTCCCAGGAGCTGACGGGGACGCTGCCCCACGAGTACCCCCTGAAGGCTGGGGAGAAGCCCCCCAAGGTGCGGCGCCGGATCGGGGCTGCCTTCAAACTGGATGAGATCGTTGTCCTGCATGGAGTGGTGAGGGGTCCGCGGTGCAAAGGGGAGGGGTGGGGACCCCTCCTCATCCCATGCTATCCCATGCCATCCCATGCCACCCCATGCTATCCCACCCCATCCCCATCCCGTGTCATCCCATCCCACCCATACCATCCATCCCATCCCATCCCTTCCCACCCCATCCATCCCATCCCATCCTGGGGCTGTGGAAGATGCCCAGGGCTCCCATGAGGATGTCACTGTCCTGATCCCGTGGGTGGGGGTTCCCAGCACCCAGGATACTGTTGGGGTGCCGGGGTGCCCAGTGAAGGGATGTGTTGGGATTCCAGGTGCTGTGGGTGGATTTGAGATCCCAAACGTGATGGGTGGTGTTGGGGTGCCGGGGGGATGGGAGGAGGTGGGATTCCAGGTGCCATGGGTGGTGCTGGGGTGTCGAGGTGATGGGATATGTTGGGGTTCCAGGTGCTGTGGGCAGTGCTGGGATGTTGAGCAGATGGGATGTGTTGGGGTTCTGTGTGCGATGTCAGCTTGGACGCTGAGGGGGTGGGAAGTGTGGGAGTCCCAAGTGCTGTGGGTGCTGTTGGGGTCTCCAGCGGGATGGGAGATGTTGCGGTTCCAGGAGTGATGGGGGCTGTGGGGTGCCGAGGTGCTGGGAGATGTTGGGGGTCCATGTGTGATGGTGGTGTTGGGGTTCCAGGAACCATGGGTGCTGTTGGGGTGCAGAGGTGTTGGAGCTGTTGGGGTTCCAAGCACTGTGGAAGATGTTGGGGTTCCAGGTGCTGTGGGTGATGTTGGGGTGCAGAGGTGTTGAGAGATGTTGGGGTTCCGTGTGTGATGGTGGTGTTGGGGTTCCAGGCACTCTGGGAGGTACTGGGCTGTCCAGGTGAGGTGGTGGGAGATGTTGGGGTTCCACAGATGGGGTGCCGAGGGGCTGGGAGGTTCTGGGGTGTCATGGGGGGTGTCATTGTGTTTCCAAGCACTGTAGGTGCTGTTGGGGTGTCAGGACGGGTGTCACTGTGGGTGGTGTTGGGGTGCTGAGGTTCTGGGTGGTCTTGGGGTGTCACGGTGGGTTCTGCCACGTTCCCCAGTGCTCTGGGCAGTGTTGGGGTGTCACAGTGGGTGTCACTGTGGGTGTGGTTGGGATGTGTTGGGGTCCCAAGTGCTGTGGGAGGTGTTGGGGCACCGAGGTGCTGGGAGATGGTGGGTGTTGGGGTGCTGAGGTGCTGAGGTGCTGGGTGCTGTCGGGCTGTCAGGGTGGGGGCTGCCGTGTTTCCCGGTGCTGTGGGGGTTGTTGGGGTGTCAGGGTGAGATGATGGGTATTGTTGGGATGTGTTGGGGTGTTGAGGTGATGGGATGTGTTGGGGTGCCGATGTGCTGGGTGCAGTCAGGGTGTCAGGGTGGGTACCACCATGTTTCCCAGTGCTGTGGGTGCTGTTGACATGTCATGATGGGTGCCACCGTGTTTCCCAGAGCTCTGGGCAGCATTGGGGTGTCACGATGGGTACCACCGTGTTTCCCAGTGATATGGGTTTTGTTGGGGTGCCAAGTGCTCTGGATGGTGTTGGGGTATCAGGGTGGGTACCACCATGTTTCCCAGAGCTCTGGGTGTTGTCGGGCTGTCAGGGTGGGCTCTGCCGTGTTTCCGAGAGCTCCGGGCGATGTTGGGGGTCTCACGGTGGGCCCCGCCGTGTTCCTGACCCCCCTCCCCGTGCCCAGGACCCCCTGGAGCGGGAGCGGGCGCTGCAGCTGCGGATCGCCGAGGCCTCTCGCCGCCTGTGCCACGAGCAGAACATCGGGCGGCGCCTGCGGAAGCGGCGACAAACGGCGGCGCTGCGGGAGGAGCAGAAGCTGCGCGACCTGGAGCAGGTCCTGAGCCAGCGGCGCCTCCTTACGGGGCACAGGGACAGGGGCACTGCCCACGGTGAGACCCCCGGGACCCCCAGCCGAGGAGGGGGCAGGAAGGAGGAGTGGGGGGCAGCTTAGTGAGGTCTCCCTGGGGAATGCACTCCAGTTCCCCATCCCAATCCCTCTGGATACCCCCCAATTCCCCATCCCTGGTGAGTGCACCCCCCGGATGCCCCCCAGTTCCCCATTCCGAGTGGGTACACCCCAGTCCTCCATCCCCAAAGAATGCACGCCCCTAGATAACCCCCAAAATACCATCCCTGGGGAACGCACCCCAATTCCCTATCCCTACTGAACACACCCTTGGGTACCCCTCAATACACCATCCCTAGTGCCTGCCCTCCAATACCCCTCTGGAAACTCCCTGGAATGCCATCCCTGGGATGTGCACCCCAACATGCCCTCCCTGTGAATGCACCCTGTCGAGTGCACCCCAAAACTTAACCGATTTATAGCACCTCGAATGCACCTCAGTACTTCACCCTATTGATTCCACATCCTGAGAGCACCCCAAAACTTCACCCCCTCAATGCACCCCAGTACTTCACCCCATTGATTGCACCCCTAAATGCACCCCAGTACTTCATCCCACTGATTCCACCCCTTGACAGCACCCCAAAACTTCGCCCCCTCAATGCACCCCAATGCTTCACCCCATTGATTGCACCCCTGAATGCCCCCCAACACTTCACCCCTGTTGCTTGCACCCCAGAACTCCCTCTGATCCCCCATCCCCTGCACCCCAAAGGGGGGCAGGATGTGGCCCAGCTACCATGTCCCATCTCGTGTCCCATTCCAAGCCATCCAGGGGGTCCCACTCTCTTCTCGGCCCTGTCCCATCCCTGTCCCCTCGCAAGGACGGGGCCGTGGTGGCTCCTTCCCTGCCCATGCCCCCGACGTGCCCAGCCCGGGCAGGCTGGGATGAGGCTGGGATCGGATTGGGATCAGGCTGGGATGAGGTGGGGAACAGGCTGGGAACAGGCTGGGATGAGGCCAGGAGCAGGTTGGGAGCAAGTTGGGAGCTGTCTGGCTAGGCAGAGCCGGCCCGGCCGGTACCGGAGCGTGTCGGGACAGGTGGCGTGAAGGGAGGAAGGAAGGGAGGGGAAGAGGGAGGGAGGGACAATGGGGGGAGCGGAGCCCCGCGGGGACGCACTGGGAGGTGGCGGGGCCGTGGGAGAGTTTGGGCACCGGCGGCGGCTCCGGCTCTGCTCTCACGGTGCCCCCTTTCCCCCGTCCCTCTCTCCCCATCCGTCTCTCCCCTGTCCCTTTCCCCCGCCCCTCTCTCCCCTGTTCCTGTTCCGGCCCCGCAGAGCTCAGCGGCTCCGAGGAGAGCTCCCTGTCTGACACGGGCCTGCTGGAGGAGGGTAAGGGAGTGGAAGGGAGTAGGGGGGTCTGGGCAGACATGAGAGTACCCCCTGTGTGTCCTCTCCATCCCAAACGCTTCACGTGTCCCCTGCATCCCATTTCCCTTCTGTCCCCCTCATCCCATCCCTCCCTGTTCCCCTCCACCCCGTTCCCCTCATGTTCCCTCCATCCCATCCCTCCCTGTTCCACTCCATCCCATCCCCCTCATGTTCCTCTCCATCCCATACCCCTTGTGTCCTCTCCATCCCATCCCACCGTGTATGTCCCCTCCATCCCAATTCCCTGCGTGTTCCCTCCATCCCAACCATCCACCTGTCCCCTCCATCCATCCCCCTTGTGTCCTCTCCACCCATCCCATCTCATGCCATCCCATGCCATCCCATCCCATCCCATGCCATCCCATGCCATCCCATCCCATCTCATGCCATCCCATCCCATCCCATCCCATTCCATCCCTTCCTGTGTCCCCTCCATCTCAGCACTCCCTCTCTCCCACAGAGGACACACGGCCACCAGGACCTGCCACCCCACGGAGGTCCCCATCCCCCAAGGACGCCACTGAGGAGGAGGAGGAGGGGTCGGGACCACCCCCATCCTCCCCCAGCCCCTGGCAGGAGACCAGCCTGGACAGACCCTATGAGAGGGGCAGAAATCCTGGAATCAACACCGGGAATGGGGAAACCCGGAGCTCCCGGTGCTACCTGGGGTCCCCCCTGGGGTCCCCCCCGGCCACCCCCGGCAGCCCCGACCCTGCAGCCCCCCCGGGGGCCAGGCGAGGGGACCCTCCCTACCGGTTTGTCCCCATGAGGACCCTGGTGCTGTGCCAACAGGGGGGATCCAGTGCTCCCGGCACACCGGAGACACCGGCACGGAGGGGACAGAGCCAAGCCCGGAGGTACGACCTGGGCACGACAGGGGACATGGGGGAAGGAGGGAGGGGGGGGACCCCGTGGGGAGAGGATGGAGGAGATTCCATGGAGAGGATGGGAGAGATGCCATGGGAAGGATGGAGAGGATCCCATGGGGAGGATGAAGCTCAATCCATAGGAAAGAGGATGGAAATAACCCTGTGAAGATGATGGAGCTCAGCCCATGGGGAGGAGGTTGGAGAAAATCCCACAGGAAGGATGGAGATAGCCCATGGGAAGAGGCTGGAGACAGCCCCATGGGAGGCTGGAGCTTGACCCCACAGGGAGGATGGAGATAATCCCATGGCAGGCTGGAGCTCCAGTGCCATGGGATTAGCTCCACTCTCCTCCCATGGGGTTCCATGACCTTTCCCCAGGATGGATCCATGTCCTTCGCCCAGGGTGGATCCCTCTCCTTTCCCCAGGATGGATCCATGTCCTTCGCCCAGGGTGGATCCCTCTCCTTTCCCCAGGATGGATCCATGTCCTTCGCCCAGGGTGGATCCCTCTCCTTTCCCCAGGATGGATCCATGTCCTTCGCCCAGGGTGGATCCCTCTCCTTTCCCCAGGATGGATCCATGTCCTTCGCCCAGGGTGGATCCCTCTCCTTTCCCCAGGATGGATCCCTGTCCCCTCCACAGGTTGGATCCCTGTCCCCTCCCCAGGGCGATCCCTCTCTTTTCCCAGGGTGATCCCTCTCTTTTGCCAGGTTGGATCCACCCTGGCCGCCCCTGGAGCCCCGGGGCCGCCCCCCCGGGCCCCGCCGCCGCCCCACGCACTGTGCGGTGTCATTCCCGCCACCCGCGGGCCCCTCGTTCCTCTCGGGATCGGCCGAGAGCGTGTCCAGCGTGTCCAGCGCGTCCCGCGCGCCCTCCCCCGGCGGCTCCGGCCCCGACGGGTCCCTCGCCGCGTCCCTGCCCCTGCCCGGGCCTCGCCCGCGGGGCCCCCCCCGGGTCCAGCCGCCCCCCTCGGAGCTCCTGTTGGAGCAGGACCTGGCCCCACTGCGGTACCAGCGCCTCGTGCCCTCCCGCTCCCGCATCGTCCGGACCCCCTCGCTCAAGGACTACGGCGGGGCCCGGGGGCTCTCCCGCGCCGCCGTCACCGAGGAGCTCCGCTCGTGGCACCAGCGCGCGCGGCTGCGGGGGGCGCGGCCGCACTCCCTGGACAGGGAGGGGGCCCTCGGGAGACCCCCCGGAGGGACCCCCGGGGACGGGCCCCTCGCCCGGGCCGTGCTCTCGCGAGTCCAGGTAGGACACGGGGGCTGGGGGCGGGGGGGACCCCGGGGGGCTGCCTTGCGGGGGGAGGGTCACCCTGAGGTGGGATCAGGGGATGTCTGGCTCTGGTGGGGTCCCCAGAGTGGATGTGGGGTCCTGAGGGCATCCATGGGGAGGAATTGAGGTCCCACGAGGGTCCGTGGGGCAGGACTGGGGTCCTACAAGGGTCCCTGGGGCAGGACTGGGGTCCTACAAGGGTCCCTGGGGCAGGAGCAGGACCTTAAGGGGGTCCCTGGGGTGGGATTGGGGTCCCAGTGAGTCCCTGTGGTCATACCCAGGGGCCCACCAGCTGGACCACGGGGGTCCCGGGGGCAGCACTGCAGCACCCCTGGGCAGGGAGGTCCCTACTGACATTTTGGGGGCCAGTCCCCCCCTTCTCCCTGGTCCCACTGGGTGGGGGGGGTCCCCATGGCACAGCAACATCGGGCAAGTGGGGACCTACAACTGTGCCCCCACAACCCCCCCCAGCCTCTGCCCCAGAGGGTGCCAAGGCGCCCCTTTAGAGTCTTGCTTCTGCCCCTGGGACCCACATGGGACCGCATCCTGCTCCAGGAACCCTCTTAAGGTCCTGGTCGTGCCCCAGGGACCATTGTGGGACCCCTGTCCCACCCTGAGAACTGCTTTAGGGTCTTGGTCCTTCCCCAGAGACCCTTGTGGGACCCCAATCCTGCCCCAAGGACCCTCCTGGGACCGTGGTCCTGCCCCAAGAGCCCTTGTAGGACCCAGTCCCACCCCAGGAACCCCTTTAGGGTCTTGGTCCTGCACCAGGGACCCGCAGGGACCCCAGTCCTGCTCCAGGGTGCCCAGCACAGGGTGAAGGTGCCCCGGGGGGTGCCCTTGGGGGTTCCCAGCACAGAGTGGGGTGCCCAGTACAGTGTGGGGTGCCGGCACCCACGTGCTCCCTGTACCCCCCAGGCCCCCCCCGTGCTGCGGCGCTCGGTGCCCGGGGTGCTCGTGCAGCTCTACGTGCCTGAGAACGGTGAGATCGTCACACAAGTGTGAGCAGAGCCCCCAGCCCAGGCTGGGGGGCACAGCCTGGCTGGCCCAGGGACCCCCCACCCCGATGTGGGCACACGGGGGGGAGGCACAGTGGGGTGGCACGGGCTGGCCCCCACCCCGTGTGACCTCAGCGGCACCGGCACCGCAGTGCTGATAGTGACACTGGTGACACTGTGACACCGGTGCTGATGGTGACACCGTCACCCTGATGGTGACGGTGACACCTTGACCGTGGTGCTGATGGTGACACTGTGACCCCAATGTCACCACGATCCTCAGTTTGAGGTTCTGGTCTCTAATAAAGGTGGGTTTTGGGATGTGTCACTCTCGAGATGTGTCACCTCCGTGTCCCCAGCCCTGTCCCCTCCCGGGATCCCCATCCCTGGGGACAATTGGTGCTGCCAGGTTGGGGCTCTGGGATTTTGGTCTCTAGCTGTGCTCAGGGAAGTGGTGGGATGCCCCCAGTGCCAGGGAGGTGCCCCAAGTGCCAGGGGCGTTCCCCAGTGCCCAAGGGGATGTCTCAGTGCCCAGGGGGGTGTCCCCAGTGCCAGGGGGGTTCCCTAGTGCCCAGGGGGTGCCCCAGGTCCAGCTGTGCCCGTCCAGCACCCAGTGAGCGTGGCTGGAATGGGGGACTGGGAAAGGGGGCTCAGGGAGGGGAAGGGGTAGAGGAGAAGTATGGGGGGCAGGGGAGGGGGGCAAGGGAGGTGGGCAGGAAGGGTGCAGGGGATGGGGTGCAGGAGGAGGAAAATAAGGGATTCGGGGAAAGGCTGGGGTGGGAGAAGGGGTGCTGGGAGGGGAAATGATGGGGTGCAGGAAAGGGAAATAAGGGGTGCAGGGGTGGGATGGGGTGGGAGAAGGGGTGCAGGGAAGGGATGGGGTGCAGAGGAGGGAAATAAGGGGCGCAGGGCTGGAGTGGGGTGGAGGAGGGATGATGGGAGGGGAACTGTTGGGGTGCAGGGGGTAGGGAAGGGGTTGGCTGCAGGAAATCGTGTGGGGGGAAGGGGTGCCCGTGAAAAGACGGGGTGCAGGCAGAGGAGAGACACGGGGGGCAGGGGAGTGGCGGAAGGTGCCGGAGGGACCACTCAGGGCATATCCCCCGGCTGCACCCGGCGCCGGCGGGGCCGCTCCTCCCGCCGCGGGCGGGCGGGCGGGGGCCGGTGACTGCGGCGGGGGGCGGTGCCGCGTGGGGGGGACACCGGGCACGGACCGACCGAGCGCCGCCGGCTGCGGCGTCACTGCGGGCCTGCGCCCGCCCCGCGCCGGGGGGCACCGGCAGGCACCGGGAGGCACCGGGGGACACTCGGAGCAGCACTGCGGCACCGGGAGACAGCAGCACCGGGAAGCACCGAGCGGCACCAGGGGACATCGGGAGGCACCGGGAGGCACCAAGAGACACCGGCAGGCACCGGGAGGCACCAGGAGACACCGGCAGGCACCGGGAGCGGCCCCGCGGCCCCGGGAGGAACCGGGAGGCACCAGGAGAGGCCCTGGTGTTGCAGCGCAGCCTTCGCCCCCGCCCCGGGCAGTGCTGAGCGGGGACAGCGGGCCCGGGCCCGCGATGGGGCCCGGTGGCCCCGGGGGCAGGTGGCCCCTCGCCGGGACCCTGCTGGTGGCCATGGCCACCTCGATGGGTGAGACATGGGGACCCGGGGAGGGGGAGCCCGGTGCCACCCTGCGATGGGACGCGGTGACACTGCCTGTGACCAGGGGGGTTCCCGCTGGGGGGGACCCGGGGCCACCCCCCTGACCGGGGGGTCCCGGTGAGGCCACCGGCCGTGATCGTCACTCACCACACGCGGCCCCTTTCACCCTTTCACCAACGTGCCCCCCCGGGCTCTGTATCCCTCACGAAGAACAACCCCCCATTTCCCATTTTCGGGGTCCCTGGGAGCCGCCGGTCCCCGGGAGCAGTGGGCATGGAGCCGGGATGCCCACGCCGGGGGATTTGGGGGGTTCCCACGCTCGCTCCCCCCGTGCCTCAGTTTCCCCACTCGGGCCTGAGCTGCCGGGGGCTCTTTTTGGGGTGCGCGGCCCCCTGGGAGACCCCCGCGGGAGGAAGGCGCTGTCCCGGTGCCTCCCGCCACCCCCGGGCCTGGATCTGCGGCTATTTCTGGGAAAACAGGTGGCTCCGGCCAGAAATAGGACGGGAGGTGCCATTGGAGCATCCGGGAGGGGGGACGAGGAGGCTCAGGGGACCGGAGGGGTCCCGGAGCTGCGTAGCATGGAAAGGGGTCTGCAGGGATGTGGGGCAGGACAGAGTGTGGGGGGGGTGCACAGGGACGGGAGGTGGGGAGACAGAGGGGCACATTTTGGGGGTCCGTGGGGCAGGAGGGAGGGGTCCGTGGGACAGGATGGAGCAGAATATTGGGGGTACATAGGGGAAACAGTTTGGGGGTCCATGAGGTAGGAGGGAGGAAGGTTTTGGGGGTACGTAGGGGCACAATTTGGGGGTCCGTGGGGCAGGATGGACCGGAGCCCAGGGGTGGGCACAGGGCAGGATGGACCGGGGTGCAGGGGGAGCAGTGGCCCAGGACACAGCGGGGTCCAGGCTGTGCCACGTGGGGTGGGGATGTGTGTGGCGCTGCCGGTGCCCCCGGGGTGGGGTGGCCAGGTGGCCCGAGGCCCCGGTGACAGGTGACCCTCTGCAGTGGCCGGGGGTGAGGACTGCCTGTGGTACGTGGACAGGAACGGCTCGTGGCACCCGGGCTTCGACTGCGAGTTCTTCACCTTCTGCTGTGGCACCTGCCAACAGCGCTACTGCTGCAGGGACCCCCTGCGACTGCTCACCGAGCGCCAGCAGCGACACTGCTTCGCCTTCAGGTGCCACTGTGGGGGCACGGGGGGCACCCCCGGGGCGCTGGAGGCTCCTACTGGGCGCTGGGACTGGGTGCTGGGCATTGGGACTGGGGGGTTGGGTGCTGGGGACTGGGACTGGATGTTGGTGCTGGGCATTGGTCCTGGGCAGTGGTACTGGGTGCTGGTCATGGGGCAGTGGTTCTGGGTGTTATTGCTTAGCACTGGGCACTGGTACTGGGTACTGGATGGTGGGCATTGGGTGCTGGGCGCTGAGTGCTGTACACTGGTGTTGGGCACTGATACTGGGCAGGGGCACTGGGTGCTGGACACTGGGCACTGGGTGCTGGGCATTAGGCAGTGGTGCTGGGTGCTGGGCAGTGGTACTGTGTTGTTGGGCCCTGGGCACTGGTACTAGGCCCTGGGCATTGGTACTGGGTGCTGGGCACTAGGCAATGGTACTGTCACTGCTACTGGACATGTATACTGGGTCCTGGTCACTGGTACTGGATGCTGGGCACTAGTACTGGATGCTGGGCCCTGGGCACTGGACACTGGCTGCTGAGCACTGGTACTGGGCACTTGTACTGGTTGCTGTGCACTGGGTGCTGGGCACTGGTACTGGGTGCTGGGTGCTGTCAGTGTCACTGGCCAGTGTAGTGTCACTGGACATTGGGCACTGGTACTGGGCATTGGGCATGGGCAGTGTCTCTGGGCAAGTATCCCTGGTACTGGTCACTGGTCACTGTCACTGGTACTGATCACTGGTCACTGGGTGCTGACAGTGTCACTGGGCAGTGTCACTGGGCAGTGTCCCTGGTCACTGGTCTGTCACTGGTCCCTCGGCACTGGCAGTGTCCCTGGGCACTGGGCACTGGCAGTGTCTCTGGGCAGTGTCCCTGGGCACTGGGCACTGGCAGTGTCCCTGGGCAACACCACCGAGCACTAGCTGGGGTGAGGGTGCTGGTAGTGACCCCCAGGCCCCCGTGCCCACGCTCGGGTGTTCCTCCTGCAGCCCCAAGACCATCGCGGGCATCGCCTCGGCTGTGGTGCTCTTCATCGCCATCGTCACCACCATCGTGTGCTGCTTCATGTGCTCCTGCTGCTACTTGTACCAGCGGCGCCGGGCCCCGCCCACCCCCCTGGCAGGTGGT